CAATAGGACTACCACCAATGAAGATGCCAACAAAGAGATAAAAGCAAGATAGCTCCCCTTAACACAATAATCAGAAGCTCAAAACCTCCATTGGTCTTCCGATTCCAAAGAAATCTCTGATCGACTTGGAGAAGGAAGACGACGTCGCCTTGCAAGCCTAAGACTCCTTCTAGGAGCTGGGGGGCTAGAGCCTCTAGCATATCCCCTCTCGAAAATGATCCGCCCCTGATCATTATTACGAATGAGTGCAGTAGTAAGTCCCTTTGGACCTCCCCACCGCTGTAGGTGGTCATCAGGCTCGATACCATCATCCGGGTACCATTCTCTCCATGGTTCCGGGTCCGGGTCGAACTTTGCACTGTCTCTAAAGAACACTTGAAAGTCCAGGCTGTCCTCCTTACTAAAAAGCTCTGAATCTGATTGGCATGCTCTAGAGTCTGTTTGTCTGTGATCCTCCTCTTCTGGAAAAACAACCTGTAAAGGTTCAAAACTGTGTACATCAGCTAGAGTGTTTAAGGATCCTGATTCCAAAGAAGGTTGCATCTGTGAACAGGGGCTAGGTGTGTTATCTAATATATATTGTGTGTGTGTGTGTGTGTGTATATATATATATATATATATATATATATATATATATATATATATATATATATATATATATATATATATATATAATGCAGGGCATATAAAAAAGTCTTCAACAGTAAATTTAAAGATTAATACACAAGTTGAAAATATAATGGTAACTACTCCCTCCGTTTTCAAAAACACTTCCTCTTTCATTTTTTTCATTTCCAACAAAACACTTCCATTTTCTATTAAAAACCCACTTTTACCCTTACTTTTTTATATCCTACCTACCACATCATACTTTATCTCTAATAATCTATCCATCACATCTTACTTTTACCTATCACATCAAGGGCAAAATTGGAAGTCAACAACAATTTATAACTTTCTTATTTTTACACAAAGTCAAAAGAGGAACACTTTTTCCAAATGGAGGGAGTATTAGACTAAAGAAATTGTAACAATTAATATTAATTAATTAAATAATACACAAATTAAAAAATTAAGAATAATATCCTTAGTTTAATTAACAAAAAATAAAATTTCATATTGTCTCTCTAGATTTTAGACTATAATCTTTAATTTTTGGAAAAGGATCAAGTTCTATCTCAAATGAAATTTGTCCCTTAGAATTGTTTGAAAAAAAAACTTCTCTTTAGTTTGACCTTAAAAACTGAATTTGAAGTCAATGACCTCGCAGTCTTTAATCCTCATATTCATAGTATTAAGCTCAATAGCCAAAAAATATTTAATCATTGCATTTTCTAAAAAGGCAGCTTTATCAAAAGCAAATAAAGTGAAAGTGTGTCCCTTTTTATCATTAGGAAAAGGGTTTAAATCTGCTTCAAATCATGTTGCTTCTCTAATTCTTGTTGAAATAATTTTGAGTTCAATCGAGGGAACAAAATTTTGTGTTACAGCAGATTCTTCAAAGATGGAAAACTTAGTGCTTTTAAAATCAAAATCATTTGAAAATGTCTTAACAATAAACAAGTGTTCATGGTCAGTTTGCAGCCTTGATTTCCTCCACACCAAAGATTTATTTGTGGACTCATCATTTAGAAACATAAAAATACCATTCATACAATCCTTAAGACCAAACATTTCCTTTCCAAAAATGAAGCTCTTTAAAGAATAAGGAATAGAAATGATCTAAGGATTCAAAGAAACTGGGGTGTGCTGTATGGAATAAGAATTAATTTGTTCTCCCCCACACTTAGTTAAAACCCAGGTTGTTCAATCTGGTGCTCTTTCGTAAACTGTATTTTTCTTGGCATTTTGAGCTTGTGGGATTTCTTCAAAAACTAACTGCTCGTCTTTTTCAGCATGTTTAGAAAACACAATAAAATCATTTTCTCTAAAAAGTTTATCAAGTCCCAAGCAACAATCATCTCCAAGCTCTTTTATCAATTCTCCCTTGGCCCTAGATCCTTCAAACTTATCAGACTTCTTCCTTTTTAAAATATTTATTTCTCCAATATTATGGAAGTTCTTTTCAATGTTTCCAAAGAGTTTCAACAAGGTGTTTTGCTCAACAGATTTCTCAAAAGCCATTTTGTTTTCAAAACTAGATTCACCTAGCAGCTTGCTTATAATCTCTATATTTCCAAGAAGATGAGCCATACTAAACCCATTTGAAACAGCTCCCTGGTCATGAAGTATATCTTCCTCTTTTTCAATTCTCACTGGGGTATTCAATTCACCAGTACAAATCTTGTTTGTCTCTTTTTGGTGTGTTTTATTTTGAATACTGGGTGATCTCTCCTCTTCAAAACCAAAACTTTTGAAAGCACTTTTGGACTCATCAATTTTGAAATTCCAGCACTCACAAGCAAATAACCACAACAGCTAACAAACAATGGCAAAACAGTTATTGAAGGAAGTGTTGGAGCTTAAGAATACGCAGGATGCTACAACACCTTCTTCAACAGTCGCACACACAAACAGAATAATAAACACATCAAGACACAAAGATTTGTTTACGCAGTTCGGAGCAGTATCTCCTACGT